CCGGCGCCCCAACAGGTCCTGGTATACGCCATCAAGGCCAGTATACAGGAGTTGCTCATGCTCTTCATCTTTCTCCTCATCGGGATGCTCATCTTCTCCACCATGATCTACTACGCCGAGCGGAAGAACACCACAGAGGGCGGCGATATGTTCTCCACCATCCCTATGGGCTTCTGGTGGAGCATCATCACCATGACAACGGTGGGCTATGGGGACGTGTACCCTACCACCCCCGTGGGCTACATAGTGGGCACGGCCTGCTCAGTGAGTGGCGTCCTTCTGGTGGCTCTCACGATCCCGGTCATATCCAACAACTTCACACTCTTCTACAGACACGTTCAATCGCGCGCTGCCATTCCGAGAAGCCGAGGGGGTGACAGTTCAGAGTGCGATTCTAATTTCAACTCGGAATTTGAGAGGTCAGTGACCCGTAAAACTTCCAACGACTCAAACGTTTTGACATTTGTGAATGGTCATGTGACCGGGATTCATTTCTCCGGGAGCAAGTCCAGGTCCCAGCAGTCGGGAGGCCGCTGGTCACAAACTGGTGAATCTGCATCGAGCGTTTCCGTGAAAAAATCCGCTTCGGATTATATGTTTCAGAGAAACAGATCCTTCAGGGCCTATTCAGACGATGGTGTGATGTACAAAGGAGAGACTGTCGTGTGAAGTTTCACCACCATATTCTTCCATTGTAATAGAGTGGCTTTGGTGTGCATCTTGCTTCAGCAAATACCATATAGTAGTGTGACACGGTCTTTTGCTGGTTTAAGTATTTCAAAAGTTTTTGTTATTCAGGAAATGGCATGGCTATGTGGATATTATTTCTTCGAAAACATTGACAGCGTGTTTTTATGAGTAACAATGCCCTGCTCTCTCTTCCATTAGTTTGTATTTCTTCCACGATGCTCTTTGGCTTTCAAAGGGCATTTCTCAGTGTGCAAATGCTTTGTTGGGATGAAGGCTGAGAGATAAAAGACGGTTTGGGATCAAGGTGTTCTTGAGTCCATTGACAACAGGAAAATGGAACTCTTTGTTTACTGTAAACTTAACTGCATTCCGTCACTGGCCATCTTTTGCATCTTACGCAAAATGCCTCATTGTCATCACAGTCCTTCCTTACAGAACTTGTCAATACATTTGGTTTTATTTTGCATTATTATATCTGCATGTAATCCATGATTACATGATGCCTTCATTATTCATTTGCAGAATGCTGTTTTTTTATATCTTTGATGTTGCTTTTTGGTATGCTGATTAACTTTTTATATATTTCATGACAATTCATTTTTGCTTTTTCTACCAATTGAAAATCAAAATGATATACAAATGATTATATTGAAGTCACGATGATCTGTAGCCAAAGCTGTTAGATTACAATCTTCTTTCACAAAATTGTGTATCAAAATATGAGACGTTCAGATCTCTCAACTGTTTGTCACCTCATCAATATTACGTTACTGGGGAAATTTCGTAAACAATTATCAAACACATCATAGGATGATCACACAAGCTGTAGCTATCAGGACTCTTCTACTGTACTGGACATTGTATAGCAATAGGGCTGCTGTTCTTTGTGTAATGATAACATTTTAGGAGTGTAACTCAGATGGAATAAATATCATTGCAGACTCTGCTGTCTTAACGTGCCCATCAGGTTATCTTTTTTCCAGAAAATTATAATAATAATAATAATAATTGAATTTATAACGCACCAGAATCCACAAAAAGTGCT